TGACATAGCCATTCTCTCTTGCTTTTAATTTTTTTTTCATGTATAGTGAACCTCTGTGTGATACAGTTTAAGACTATACTGCTGCACTGCTCATAAGTGTTTACCTCTCCAATAGGTTTTTAATAACAGTCCTGACGAGACCGCTTATTTTCGGATGTTGTTGAATCGAGAGAACATAAGCAATGCAGCTGTCATGATTCAACCGACGCTAACATCATTTTCATTTAAATCGCCACCTTCTCCAGCTTTGTTGGATGTGGCATCAATTGCAGCTGATTGCATCCTTTTCTTGGATTCTTATTTCAGTTTAGTTATATTCCATGGATTGACTATAGCTCAGTGGAGAAACATGGGCTATCACAAACAACCAGAACACCAGGTACTCAGCTATTACTTTGTTCTGTGTGCACATTAAACCACCAGATCACTGTGATCAATAAATGTATTGGTTGATAAAGTTATCCATGTGCTAACGCAGTTGGGAAACAACCCTTTTTCCGTTCTACATGGAAAACATGGGTTAACCTCTTGTTTAGTGTTTACTGCCCTTATGTGCTATCTCCACCCCTTTCCTTCTCAATAGAATCTGACCTTATTTGACCAACAACTCGTTAGGGATTCTGAGATTCTCTATCTTAGAGTCGTAGTTTGTGTCTTTGTTACTCCATCTCTGGACCTTCCATTCTCCTTCCCTCTTAGTTGAACTAGTCTTTATCTCTCTTGAGTGGAACTGTGTGTGATCTGGAATCGGAGACCTCCAGAGAAGACACCTTATACCATGAGTCTCTTCCATGCTTTCTATTTGAAAGATGAAAACAAATATAACTCTGGAAAACAGAAAACAGAAAGCATTACGAAACAGGCCTAATGCTCTGATTCATTTTGCGTAACATGTACTTGGGGTGGTATTTTCTGCATCTGCAGAGCTATCAAGGTTGTGTGTAGAGGCTGCCCCTGTTGAACGGGAGGGTATGTGACTAGCTATTGAGGTTGTGTGTGGAGGCTGCCCCTGTTGAATGGGAGGGTATGTGACTATGTGTACAGGAAAATGAAAAAGGCAACAAGTGGAATGTTATGGGGCTTCATTCTCTTTAAGAAACCTTTCAGACGTTTCATTTTCATTTTCATTTACCCCAGTGCTGCAAAGTCTTCCCACCTACGGTGGGGTAAGGGGGGGTCAGATGTACGCAGTCTTACCCCTGTACTAAAGCACAGAGAGACTGTTTCCGAATGACCCATAGTGAAAATCCCGTCCAAAATTGCATGGACTGACTGCTGCTTCATAACAAAGAAGCGTAGACAGTTTAGTGAGCCATTTTGCTTTATTCCATCATAATCTCAAGCCAAAAAATAATGAAACTTTGGCTCCATTGCAACTGATGGAAAGAATTCATTTCGTAATTCAATCTTGTGTGTCTTGTTCATACTAAAAGGGACCTTCATTTTATTTTATCTTATTTTACATTATTTTATATAGGAGTGATAAACAGTAAACTACAAATGGAGAGGATAATCAACAAGATAGGTTATAAGCTTAAGAACTTTTTGAAAGGACATGTAATTTGGAGCCTGTTAATGGTAATTTGATATATCAGTCTTGGTAGTGCCTTACTTAGTGTATGGTTTCTTCAATCCCATCAATTAATCTTCCATCAGTAGTCTGTACTTATCATATACACTTCATTGTAAGGTTATCACCTTATCAGGCAGTTATCATGATAGGTTCTTGGTTTGAATCTTTGAGATTCTGCTGTTTTCTTTTCCTACTGAATGATAACACTTTTTTTAACTCTAAAGCGCATGTGAACTTTATCTGCAAAGAGGTTCGGTGCACATCAGCCAACTCTATTTTCTTTAGCAAACCAGCTTTCTTTGTGGGATGACCGGAGGCGAATGAGACTTGCAGCGGATACATTAATATGTTCTACTCCAGTTTTTTTTTTGGGTTTATAATTTTATTAACAAAGTAAATGTCAATTTTCTAATGCTTCATTTTCTTCACAGGCATTTGCGCAATTGTTGCAAGCTCCACATGATGAGGCACAGTCGCTAATTCAAGAGCGGTTTCCTGTTCCAAGATTGGTGGTGTGTGATCAGCATGGCTCCCAGGTAATGATTATATCCATAATGTCTAAACTTGCCAGTACTTTACTTTTATAGTGGAATTTGCAATTTGTGCAAATGTGGCATGTACTTGAATGGAAACTTGTATACTCTACCCTCGCAGATGCAATGGTTGCAAACTATCCCTTGTTAGCATTTTTGTGTGCTCATTCTAGGATCCTTGTAATCCTTGGGTCAATCAAAGTTTTTGAGCGATCTGTTCACTTGTATAGAAATAAGATAGATCAATAAAAAATAAGTTTCTTGTTTTATGTGTGACCTGTACTACAAGTGAAAAATACTGCATGCCAATTTTTAACTAATTTACACCTTCATATCTCATCTTTGCTACTCATTATGGGAGATTATTATCAACAGATTGATTAAGCCATCATGTTATTATAAGTTTTGGCCATATCTCGAGATGAAATTATTGTTAGTAGTTATTTTTGGTTGTAGACTTGTAGTTCCCTGATGAACACATGCTTGACTTAGTGGATCTACCCATGGACCTTTGGTGGCTCTAGTGCTGTTTAAAGTACTCATGCATTGATTGTTTCTCAATGGAAAATTAACATGTACATCCTCAACAGGCAAGGTTTCTGTTGGCAAAGTTAAATCCATCTGCCACATACAATAGTGCACATGATATGGCAGCTGGAACAGATGTTATCCTCACTGATGATGTGAGTCTTCAAGTATTCTTTGAGCATCTTCAGCGGCTGGCAGTTCAATCTTCATAAGCATAAAGAAGCGTGAGATATGGTACTGTCATCGTGTCTGTTCTTTTTTATCTCAAATCCCAGTGACTTCACATCAATCAAAGCAGTTTTTCAGGGTTCGATCCACAATTTACTTCCGTTTGTATATGATAAGAGGTGAGACCCAAAATTATTCGGACTAGGGGACAAGTTACATTCTTTCGGTAGTTTAATGTATATAGCCTTCTTCATGAAGAATAAATGAGCAGAGTGGACCGAGTTGATTGGAGTTTATGGAAAGAAGAGAAGAAACAACCCCCGTTCAAAGTAGCATGAAACAGGGAGATGTTGATTGTTATATATTTCTAGGGTTCCATTTCTTTAGTTTTTTTGGAGTGCAACGATTCAGTGAAGCTGTTGCTTATGTCAATTTTGTAAAGAGTCACGGTTATTGCTTGAACATATGTTAGCTCATTTTCTAAAAACACACATGTTAAGGATATCTCAAACATTTGTTCCATCATCCATGGTTTGCTAGAGTGAAAATTTATACATCACTGTAATGTCTCCTGTCTCAGAAGTCAGAACTACGGAAGCACTTTCAATGGGCTGTTCCATTTATAACCAAAAATCTAATTTACAGGTGTGTTTTCGCCGTGCTTAATGAAAGAAAAGAAATTGAAATGCCATCATAAATGGAGCACTGTTTTTTGCAATTGGTGGTTTTCTTGATGTATGAAGATATCCCTTTTCACATGAAGGTGGTCTAGATCTAATTCAGCACCTTTCTGTCAATTCTGTGTTTAATCGGATAAATAATAATGCACGTCTTTTTGTCTCTAAAATTAAAAAGTTATGTCGCCTCATTAACAAATAACAAACGATACATTATCGTGATTAACTTCCTCAAGAAATGAAGATGGAGATTGGAGATCATTACAATAATCTAACGTATTGGACAAAGCGGCACTGTCAATTTATAACTTATTTTTATTATGATTTTTTACATCGCATTATTATTTTTCATACTAAAAAAAAACTTACAGAATGATATACCTTATTTTTTTTGTGTAGTTTCCGTCTCTATATTTTTATAAATGTCATTCCATAATTGTTCAAGATGGTGTAGCTTTCATCCTTATGTTAATTATTAAGGAGACCAAAAGTAGGCATGGACCCGGGCCGGTCCGGTTCCGGTTCCGGGCCGGGCGTTTTTTTTTCTCCAGATACTAGGGCCCGGAACTGGCCCGGGTTGATACCGGGTCTGGGCAGAACCGGGCCGGGCCAATGTGTATTTTTTTTTGCATTCTTATTATCCACCGACCCCTCCCTCACCCCCACCCCCAAACCTCCCCAAATTCCCAAAACATCCAGTTCTACCCCAGGAAAAGAAAACAAATTGAAAAAACAAAAAAAAAAGCCCGGAACCGGCCAGCCGGGTCCGGTCCAGGCCCGTACAATGATGGGCCGGGCCGGGCCGGTTCCAGTAGGATTTAATTAATATTCGTACTTTTTTTAACCAAGATCATTAGGATATTAAGTTTATGATATGACATTTTTGTGATGATGATAGTCTAATTATTAAAAGTAATAATGATTTGGTTTTTCAAGACCGAAGTGATCAAGAAATTGACTAATTGGTGATAAGAATATGGCGCTACAACTCTGATAACCGGGGGTAAAAAAATTTGGTTATAGATCCACCGAAGTGGGTAGCCTTAACCGGATGTGGGGTAACAAGAAAAGCCCGATGATACTAGGGCCCGGAACTGGCCCGAGTTGATACCGGGTCTGGGCAGAACCGGGCCGGGCCAATGTGTATTTTTTTTTTGCATTCTTATTATCCACCGACCCCTCCCTCACCCCCACCCCCAAACCTCCCCAAATTCCCAAAACATCCAGTTCTACCCCAGGAAAAGAAAACAAATTGAAAAAACAAAAAAAAAAGCTCGGAACCGGCCAGCCGGGTCCAGTCCAGGCCCGTACAATGATGGGCCGGGCCGGTTCCAGTAGGATTTAATTAATATTCGTACTTTTTTTAACCAAGATCATTAGGATATTAAGTTTATGATATGACATTTTTGTGATGATGATAGTCTAATTATTAAAAGTAATAATGATTTGGTTTTTCAAGACCGAAGTGATCAAGAAATTGACTAATTGGTGATAAGAATATGGCGCTACAACTCTGATAACCGGGGGTAAAAAAATTTGGTTATAGATCCACCGAAGTGGGTAGCCTTAACCGGATGTGTGGTAACAAGAAAAGCCCGAAAGCTAGTCCCGTCCCTGTCAGGGGAGATGCCAACCATCTCTCCTTTCTACGAACACGTTATTGATTTTAACTTAAATCATATTTAAAGGATTTCCTGTATTGTAATATGCCCGGTGTGGGATACTTGTAGCCGAGATTTCTAGTTCTAGCCTTCTACACTGCAAAGCATCGCATTAGCCGTCTCCCAACCGCACTCACACCACAATTGAAATTGAAATGCAACAAGCCGCCGTGACTGCTGCGGCTCCGTCTGTATCGCCGCCTCCGCCGGAGTCGAATGGCTCGGCTGCAGACGCCCCACCCAAGCAAGTTGCCATGGCCCTGGAGCGGCTAGGGAAGGCGGGCCGACTGATCGCGGACATCAGACTCGGCGCTGATCGCCTCCTGGAAGCCCTATTCGTGGCCGCTCAGCTTCAGCACTCCTCCAAACCCGCGAGTTTGATCCTCGATGAAGAAGCTTCAATGCGACAACACTTTCAAGACCTCCGCACTATTGGTAACTTAGCTTTACCATTGAAATTTACCCTTTGGTTCGATTGAATTTGTTTTTCTTATCCTTATGCTATGTATCTACTTAAATTTAAATACTTAGCAGCTTCTTGTACTTTCATAGTTTCATTATCGCATGCGGATCTATCTACTTTTCCGTGGAGCTGATTGCTACACTTAAGCAACACTCTAAAATGAGGATATATAACATCTGTTCACCTATATAAGCAACAACTAGTGTTTGGAGCATAAGAGCTTGAATACTAGCTCTATAAATGCTAAATTAACAAAGGTACTGAAGAAATATAAAAAACAACTATTAACTTAGAAGCTTGGGTGCTTTTTGAAATGGCTAAAGGCTATTGCAATGCTTCTTTTGAAATGTTGGAACTTGGAAGATGTTAGCTTTAGAAGTGTGGAGAAATAAGTTACAATCCAACATGTCTTGCCTTTCCCATTGTTTAACATCACTAACATTTCTATGCATGCTCGTTTTCTACTGTAAACTGATTTTGGTAAGCAAGCATTACAAATATTTCTTAGTTTTAACATGGTATCGGATCCGTCAGGCTGAGCCGTTTTTGTCTATTGTCTCTTTTCTTACATAGTCAAAATTTCACTTTTTGGACCATCTCTTCCATGAAGAGTGCTTAAGAAGGCTCTGTTATGCAGTTTCACTCACTTCCTGTAACTGTTTTCATTAACTTAATATGACCCCATGATTGGGTCCTTCCCACACATCTCAGAGGCCCCGCCCTGTGAGACCCATTGTCATCAGAATTCAGAAAGCCAGCATGCCTCTAGACTACACACACCACTTGCACTGTGCTACATTTTTTCAAGAAGTGTTCTCTACCGACCATTTACATGGAGTGTTCCACATCATCCAGTGGTTCTGACAATTTAATGTTTTTGTCACTGTACATCGGTGCCACCACTATTACTTCATGAAAAATGGCTTATGTAAGGTTACAACTTGCAGTTACTTCATAACAAAGGGCTTATTTAGTACAAGCTCGTGGACGGGCTTTTGGAGTCAAATCAGTGCTTGATTGTTCATAATATTCTATATTCGTAAATTGTATTCCTTTCGTCCCATTAGGAGGTTCCAATTACGGTTTACGATGCTTGACTGACGATAAAGCAACTTAATCCTGCTCACGCTCTGATTATTTTTAGTAAATAAAATTTACATATTCAGAAACTACATTAAAGCCGCTACAAAGCCTGATAAAAAATGTAAATTTGATAAAAATTTGATATATAAAGCAAAAGATTAAGAATGATTTAAGTTTACCATGTGAATAGTGGACGGGAACCTTTGAATGAGACGGAGAGAGTAATATTAGTATTAGTTTTATAATTCATATTATTTGTGATTTAGTGTAGTAGTAAATAGTTTCCTATTCATATTGTATTTTAGTTGAGTACCTTATAAAAATACTGTACTCCGTATTAACATAAGAATTTAACTATTACTTTCTCTGTGAGACTATTGTGAGTGCTGACTTCTAAGTAGTATAAATAGGGGCTTAACGTCATCAATAAAATTATCATATTACTCCAATCTTAACTGCATAAGGCTTTGACATATTCAAGTCCATGGGTTTCACACTTTCCCTCAATGATGAGAGTCTTTGATAGAGACCCACCTTTTGACTAATAATAGCTATTAGTTAAAATGCTGTAATAGATATTAAATAATGTCAGGAGCTGGACTGCTATAAATAGAAGTAAGGCTGAGAAGGGAAGGTAGGCTGTTTTAGACTTGTGTCTTGGGACTTGGGAAGATTGAGACAGATTGTCTCTCTCTTTTGGGGGCTTCGGCCATTGTTGTTTGTTCATCTTCTAATAAAGCTTGTGAAGTTCCTTTGATTCCTTCTGTGATTTTACTGTAAATTCTGGTGACTCTAACATTGGTATCAGAGCAAAAACGATCTTGTTACCTGTAGTCCTGTACAGGAATGATGGAAGATTGGGGGCTGTTTTGGGAAAAAATGCGCGAAGATACCAGGCGTTTGTGCGAAATGATACGCAAAATAAGCCCTCAAAGAAATAATCAGCGCTCGCAGAAAGAGTCGCGAACTAATTCACACTCGCAGGAGTTGCAGAAAGAGTCGCGAACTGTTCCGCACTCGCGAAAGAAGCCGCGCGAAGAAGTGGGGACGCTCGCGGAAAAGGATAAGCGAGGAAAAATGGAGAAAGAGAAGTGGCCAACCCTAGAAAATGAAAAGCGCTCAAAACTGGAGAAGGAGAAGGAGAAGAGAAAGGAAACAAGAACAGGGTTGGACGAGGTGCGCACCAAGCTGCGACAACGTCACCGAAGAGGACGATCGAGGACTGTACGTCGCTGCAGAAATTCGAAAAGCAAAGGTTCGACGCCTACTTCTTCTGGTTTTCTGGCTTCCACGCGGGCAGAAGTTCTTACTACGCAGGCCCATTCCTATCAGCTTATACCTTCAGTTAAGGAAACAGACCCTGAAGAGGAGGTTAATCAACCTTCGGAAATTTCATCAGACAATATTGAAGGTTCAGAAATACTTAAACGAGATATACTTACCGGTGATATGTGCTATGCTAATATACTCAATTTGAAACCCTTGATTGATTTCGTTCCTGAACTTGGATTGGGTGTTCCAATGAAAGGGCTGAACCAGATTGATGGTTTCCTAATTGATGGTGTTACCCCTATTAAGAACATCCAAGATAGGTCGGAAATAGGATTTACTGTAAATTGGAAGATTTACACTAACAGATTCCTGATGTCTAACCATGAAATCAACCCTGCTATTTTCCAATTGGCTTTGATAAGTGGTGAACATGTAAGGAAAATGCCATCAATTTGTATATCGCTTCAAGAAGGAGGTGTAGGCTTAGACTATAGTTTTGATGATTCTGCTGTGGCAAATTCTTATTCTGTGGCTAGAAGCCCATCTGCTAGGTCCATTGTACTCGTGAATGGCATTTACAAGGACTTTGTCAGCTCTTATCTTGACTCTTCCATCTTCCAGTATCAACAACAAAAATGGAATGTTCCTGGTTCTTTCAATATGCTGACTGTTGGAAAAGAGATTCTTCTTGAAGTTCAGTCAACCATTCGGGTATGGAAATCTGGCGCTGAGAACACGAGTTGCTATTTGTTGATCATCTACCCGGAACCACTGGTGTTGACAACACTTTCCAATGATGACTTGGTGGATAATTTTACCTATGCTGACTTGAAAGGGAATCCAAATACTTTGTCTTCTGGTTGTAGTTCATGGTCCTATTTTCGTAAAGGAGAGGTTAGTTCTTATTACTCAGGTGGTTGGAGTAGTAAGAATGCAGATCATGATGGTAGATATTACTATGCGATGATGGGCAAAGATCAAGGTATATCAAGAGTTTCTATTCTGGAAGAACTACCACTCATGACATGTCACATGAGTGAAACAACTGAAAACCGAGAACTTGGGTTGTACCCTGAAGCAAGAGCTACTAGCAAATGGAAGATGGAGCAGAGGGTGATGAGTGAAGATCAGTACCAGCCTGAACAAAATCATAGGAATAGTATTATTGCTTGGAAGGGAGAGGAGCTAGTGTTGTTTTTGCTAGAAGCAGTGAGAAGGAAGATTCAAATCATGAAGTTCAAGATCCTGAAATTTGAAAGATACTGGGAAGGAAGAGGTGCAAGGAAGAAGAAGAAGAAGCAGAAGATCTTGGCTTTCTCCTATCACCCACCTTGAGGACAAGGTGGATGTTTTGGGGGGAAGTATTGATAGAGACCCACCTTTTGACTAATAATAGCTATTAGTTAAAATGCTGTAATAGATATTAAATAATGTCAGGAGCTGGACTGCTATAAATAGAAGTAAGGCTGAGAAGGGAAGGTAGGCTGTTTTAGACTTGTGTCTTGGGACTTGGGAAGATTGAGACAGATTGTCTCTCTCTTTTGGGGGCTTCGGCCATTGTTGTTTGTTCATCTTCTAATAAAGCTTGTGAAGTTCCTTTGATTCCTTCTGTGATTTTACTGTAAATTCTGGTGACTCTAACATTATTGAGCAATAATTATTGAGCAGAAAAGTGATACAATTTCTGGGAAAAGGAAAGAGGAGGAGAAGTGGTCTGGAAAAGAAAAGGGACCTGCAACAGTGAAATCTCAGAATTGGGGGGAAAGTTATAAAACCAATTCTGGCAATTTTTTGTCAAATCAGGAACGAAATTACCACAGGGGCCATCCAAGTTATAATGGAACAAGGAGGGAGATGGAATTACCTTCTTTCAATGGTGATGACGCTTTTAGATGGATGGATAGGATGGAACGATATTTCTGTCTCTATGCTATTACAGAAAAAGATAAGGTTGATGTCGCAGCTGAGGCTATGGAAGAAAGGGCGTATCACTGGTTTGAATGGTGGGAAACTCAAATGAGAGACAAGAGTTGGGAGACTATGAAGGAAGCCATAACGCGGCGTTTCCAACCTACAGGCATGCGAAAGACAGAACGCCAGGAATCACACTCGCGAAATTCTTACAGTCCATCTTCTGAATTCCTCATACGTTCGCTGAAGTCTTTGCAATCACACTCACGAAATTCTTCTTCTCCAAGTGAAACGAGATTGGCAGGAGGTTTCAATTCACAAGTTTGGTCTAAGTCACAAGCAACTCTCCCCAGTTCTCCGGCCTTGTCGGGAGCTGACTCTCTCTGTTTGGGTCAAAGTACGAAGCCTTCGAGAAGAGAATCTTTCAGTTCTCAGACGATACCTAACAAAGATGAGGTATTCAGGAATCAAGGACACAGCCGAACCAGAAGAGAGATAGAGCTGTCTCTAGTCAATAAAGAGGAGAAATCGGCTGTGGTGACTCAATCCTCTATCTCCATAGATTATGAATCTGTAGTTGATAAATCGGCTGGTTCAAACACTTGGGAGAGCTCTACAGGGACTGTTCACATTGAAGAAACTGAGGAAATAGAACAAGGAAATGAGGGAAGGAAGCTTCAGGGAATCATCAGCGCAGACACTAATGCTACTAGAAGATATGGTCAAGGAGTTGGTCAAGTTGAAGCTGCTGGGGAGATACTTTATCACACAGTATACAATTGCAGAGACGGAATTACTGACCACAACAAGGATTTCATAGTAGAAATTCCTGCCTGGGATTCATCACTTGATACCAAACCTGAGAAGCCTAAACCGGATGACTTGAAGGCACTCAAATTATTCATTGATGGAGGAGCCGGGCTCGCGGGAAGACTCACTTACAGAGATGAATTGGTAGACTTGACCAGACAGTCATTGTCCAAGCTTGCAAATCAGATCTACATTGATGCAGTCATTTTTTTCATAGAGAAGGAAAATAATGAGGCAGCGTGGTTTTCGTCTTTACCTCTGGCGAACAGTGTTGCTGAAATCTATAGGGAAGAGACACGGTTGCTGGGAGATTCAATCTTTTGTAACCTAAGGGAGCACTTTGCCACCATGACTTGGTTTCTACTAGCTTTTGAAGGGAAGAACAATAAGATGCAGCCTCAAGTACTGAAGTTAAAGGCCCAGAAACCCGGGATGTATTGGGAAGGAAGAGGCATCAGAAAGAAGATGAAGTTGCAGATCAAGGCTGTTTCCTATCACCCACCTTGAGGACAAGGTGGTTGTTCAAGGGGGGAGATATGATAGGGACAAGGACAGCTAATAATAATAAGAATAATAGAGTATTATTAAATAGTGTTATTGTATAAATAAATGTTTTGGGCCTTGTAATTAGGAAGTCTGGGCCGGTCCTTAAGAATAGAAAGTATATAAAAGGGGAGAAAAGGGAGGAATAGGCAGGCAGATTTTGGATTTGGGATTAGGACTGGGAGAGACGAGGCACTCTCGAACTTGCCTCAACTGTATCGTTACCTTCCCGTTTCTTCAATTTCAGTTTCATATTCCAACAATTCAACCTCAGATTTTCTGTGTTCTATCAGTCTTCTTCAGTACGCGTTGGAAATGACGAGTCTGTAATTCCTCAGCCACACTCATGGCACTTTTGTTGTGCAGACCTTTGACCGGAGAGTATTCTTACATTGCCGCCATGAAATTACCTTCTTTTGCTCTTCACTCCAAATTGAACTTCACATGTCAAGTAACTGACCTTCAAGTCAAGTCTTATATTTGTGTTACCTTGTCAGGCAGACAGTTGGAAGATTCAGGTGTTCTGAATGACGCACTTCGTTCACGTAGCAATTCATGGGGCCTCCATATGCCACTTGTTTGTCCAGATGGTGCTGTTGTGGCTTATGCATGGAAGCGTCAACTTGCTGGTCAAGCTGGTGCATCCGCGGTTGACAGGACCAGGTGCATTTTGAATTCCTTGTTTTCATCGAATGTTGGCATCTAAATTAAAATGAATACTTCATCCGCCTGATTTGTAAGATGCATTTGTGATACATGTTTACTAAGAAATAATTCATACTACCTCCGTCTCAAAATGATGGTCCTGTATTTCCTATTTGGGGTGTCCCAAAAAGATAGTCATGTTTCCCTTTTTTGGTAAAGAAATTAAAGTAGATTACCATTTATACCTCTCCTTTTTAATGAATAGTAAAAGTAAAGGAGTGAACAATACAATAAAGTAAGGTTATATGGGTCCTTCTACCACTCTTTCTTAATATGTGAGCCCAAAAAGTATAGGGCCATCAATTTGGGATGGAGGGAGTATTATTTAGTTTGCAAGTTTACCCTTTTGGAGAATGAGGATAAGAAAACCTTTCTTTATAAACATGTTGTAGGTTAGCTCTAAAAGCATTCACTGATCAGAAAAGGCGATTTTTCCCTCACCTGGATAATGGTTGCGATGAGGGATCACCAATAAAGAAAAACTGTTCTCCAACAGCGAGCGATCAATATGATATAAGTAACCTAAGAACAGTATCTGATATTCTGACACATCTGGAAAAAGCAATTCCAAACATGAAAGCTTTAACCTACCAACGCTTGGATTGGTTGAAGCGGGCTTCCTCTTTGCCGTCACCTGCCCATCAAAGTTCTGTTGAATCACTGAAAAATCACAACTTTCATATTAGGAGCAACTTAAGATCAGGATCAAATGACAATGCTGCTAGAGAAAAGATTACAGTCATTGAGTTGTTCATTCCCTCTGTTCTCCGAGCTATTGTGTCAATACATCCAGCTGGTTCAGTGGACCCTGATGCTGTTGCTTTCTTTTCTCCAGATGAGGTACACTATTTTCTTAGTAACTTACTCTAAACGTGTTTGTGTCCTAGTTATTCTTTTGCTTCATAATTTTAAGGGCCTATTTTGTTCATGTTATTTTCACTAGAAACTGTGTTACATAAGGGAACATTATGTTACCTGCATTTGGCATCTGAAGTATGAGTTTATGTTTTGTCGCATTCCCAGGATCTCGTTTCCTTTAATCACGCTCAATTTTCGCCCTCCATGCATAATAAATAAGCATAAGTTAACTGAAGCAGGAATTGGGTTTAAACATGAATGTAGGTCATTAGATTTCCAATTTCACAATTCATTGAATTTCACATTATGTAACATAAAAATAAAAAATGCAGTTGGCAATTTGGTATATGTGAATAGGGTTTATAACTTTATATTATAGTACATTGTTCTTGTAAGATACTCCCTCCGTCCCTTAAAACTTTGCCAGCTTTGCTTTTTTGGATGTCCCATTAACTTTGCCACTTTCCCTTTCAAGTAAATAATTTGTGGTTCCAATCAATTCTCTCTCTTCTGCACAAACATCTACCACACAGTTTTTACTTTATTAATCCCCGTGCCGGTCAAACATGGCAATGTTGTAAGGGACGGAGGTAGTATTATTGAAAAGTGAAAGAGTGCACCAGATTCGTAGACCGAACTTTATCGCTGTCAAGCTCTACTTAAATTTAAATTATTGGTAGGTATTGAAATGAACATTCTCTCTGTGGTTCACGGTGAAACACTATGATACAATTCTCCTGGAAGTAGTACTTTCATAATTCTGGCAATTGATATTATTTTGTTTGCTGCAATTTCTGATGTACTAAAAGTTTTCATGTGTAGGGTGGAAGCTATGTCCATTCACGGGGGGTTTCAGTTCATGAAGTTTATAGGCTCATCACGGTATCAACTTGCACTAGCTTTTATACCCAATATAGTACACAATTCTATTAGGGTGTTTGGTGGTACTGTGCATTTTTTTAAGGATTGGTATTGAATTTTATACCACTACTCACTCACTGGTTGGTTCATTGTAGGAGCATGCTGGTGTCGCTTTGCAGCATTTCACAGGGGTGAATGAAGAAACAGCTTTATGTTCACTATTGGTATGCTTTCTTTTTTGACTACTTTTATTTGAATATTTGCACTATTTTTGAGCCTGTCAAAATCCAGAGCTTGTGAGTTTGATACCTCTCTGTACCTCCATTTTATTTTGTTTTCATTTATTCCCTGGCAGCTCTGGATATACAATTACCAGTCTTTGTTCAGGAAAGTTTGCAGGTGAGTTCTCATCTTGTTGCTTAAACTCACCATTCTAAACTTCTCCTCAATGAGAATTTTGAAATCTGTCTGCAGCAAATGTAGCCGGCTACTCTTGATGGATAAACAGTCTGCGGTATTGCTACCTCCTGTGAAGCGCTCTTTCACAAACATTTCTGCGATTAAGATTCTATCAAAAACTTCCTTGCCAGAGGATAGGAATGTAGATTCAAACCAGGCTTTTCATATTAGCTGCTATTCTGAGGAAGCATAGACGGTCCAATGAATTCATAGGCCCTATTATGAAGCATTGATATGCTAATTGAAATTTCTTGCACAAGTAAACATCTTTTCTAGAAAAGGCCATCGACGGCGCAAATGAGATTCTCCATCCAATTAATTAGTTGCATTGGCTCTTTTAGTTAGGGATTTTGGTGTTCCAGTCTTCTAGATAATCCATGTATCGTTTATCAAGTGATTTCGTAGGTGTAAACTGGTTATACTTGTACTGTATTATGCTAGGTCTTGTTGCTGGTATAAACTGGTATAGATTGTTTGTTAAACTGGTTATAGTGTATTTAATCTAAACTGGTTTAAAGGAATTCCCATATTTATGCATGATTTATCTCTATCTAATCTAAACACTTGGGGCTTGTTAACATGGGGCTAATATTAGTTGCTCTTATAATTTTACTTTCAAATGTAATCTAAAATCTAAAATAGGAATATGTAACTAATAATCTAGAGTGCAAATAAATTTTATAGTAATTATAAAATGAATAATAATAATGTATATCTGTTTGTCTGATATGTGATTTTTTAAAATATGATTAAATAAGAATAAGATATGAGTAAATAAGAATAAAGGGAACATAACTTCTAGTTTGGAAGAACATAAACCAAATAATGGGCTATAAGTTTAAATTTTTTAACAGATTTGTCCCAATTTGGTTTGGTTTTGGAACTTGGACAAGTTCTGCCTTCAATCTTATTATTATTATCATAAATATTTCCCCTCCAAAGACGATAAAATCAGAAATAATTACTTTTTCCATCTCAAAATAAGCTTTATATTCTCATTCTGGGGCCATCTTAGAATAATGTTGTTTCACTTTAATCAAGAAATATTTGATTGTTGTCGCTGCATATATTTCTATTTAAATTTTATTCACATACTATTTTTTGCAACCATATTATTAGTAAACTATACTTGGTGTACGCGTAGTTTGTACACATATTGTGTACATCATGCCTAGTACAACTTCTTAAAGAATTGCTTTAATGGACAGACAATTAGTCAACTAGAGGTGTACATAATATGTGTACAAACTATGTGTATCAACAACATTTTTGTTATTAGTATGTATGACAAGTTCATATAATATAAGAATTATATATTTGAGATGACCAAATGAATTATTTAGCATGGCTATAATCGGTTATGCCCACATTTAAAAAAAAAAAAGTGGATATCATTTTTCAAAGAAATGCAAGAAAACAATGAAAAACATCGTCACGAAATTGTGCCACCAGCCCACCACCAAACACACAAAATCTGAAAATATTTTTAGACAAATATTTACTGTTGATAAAAGAGCCAAATACAGAGTTGCATATACTCACTATAAACTTCGTATTATTCAATAGAATAGAACTAAGTTCGTATTTATTTCTATTGTATAAAGAGGCAAACTGATGAATAAAATATGACACTAGTAAAAAAATGGCTTATAGTGTCATTTAATGGACACTCAGAAAGTGACACAGAAAAGCGGGGCAAATGACACAAAATTTAGTGTCGCCGTTAACAAGTCACTTTTGTGTCACAAAATTATGACAACAACATAAACAACTGTGATATATACGTAACAAGGATTTTTGTGATACCAATGCATCATGTTTTTTAGTGATATATACATATCACTACTAGAAAAAGGCCTTACAGTGACATCAAATTAGTGTCACTAAAAGTTTCTATGACACTAAAAAAGTTTCAAAGAAAGTGGGGGCCAGTGACACTAATGTCACGACAAAACATAATATATTCTTTTATATATATTTATAATAGTATATATATTAATACAAATAAACCAAAAACATTATCATTAACCAAAATCTCAAACGTTTTATTTATATCTCAAGATTTCATATGAATGTACATGATTCATATGAACATACCCCAGAAATCATAAATGAAATTAAGTACAACTCAAAAAACAAAACACAAGTTACAATTATAGCTAGAATTGAGATAAAGCACGGTCCATAGGACATAAAACAATCTTTAAGTGCCAAGTTCCGACAACGACATTCTTATGGAAGTAATCAACAACAAGTGCTCCCTTTTTCCCATTCACATCAACTTGTCGCTGCACTACACCATATATAGAGACTAAACAATAACAAAATGCATGATTGGAGAAGTATTAAAAAAAGACCACTTATCACATGTGATAGTAGAGAATTTAGTATAAAAGTACAATGCATTAGAGAGATAGAGAATGTAAAAGAAAAACCAAATAACATATTGGATAGAGAGAGTGTGTAAGAAAAACCAAATAACCCCCTGGTGATCGCCCCCGGCACGGCCAAGCCAAGCCCGGGGGAGGTTACAAGGGTAACCCAAAGACTTGGACACAACTTGTTCTCCTGGAGCACCCTCGGACACCCTTGACGCACCCCCGTCAGCGTCATCCTCGACTTCGCTGAGGAGAGGGGCCTGGTGGAGCGAGATTCTCGCGCACCCCCAGAGGTATATGCAATCAATCCAAACTACCCCTACTGTCGCTTCCACCGACATCAAGGGCACAAAACCGGTGACTTCCATCAGCTGAAGACGACCATCAAAAGGTTAATACAGGCGGGCCATCTGTCCTAGTTTGTCCACGGCCCTCAAAAACAGGGTCCTCCCTACCAAGGGCCACCCCGAGGGCACCCAACGAAAGCAAACGCTTGGGTTAACCCAAACACCACCCCCCTCGGCAAGAAGAGGGAGATCGGGAATTTGGAAGAGGAAGAAGAGGAGTACCCCCACTGCCAGGAGAAGAAGTGCCACATCCTCATGATCACCGGCGGCAACACTGAGGGGACTCCACCAGCCAACGGAAGAAGTGGGCTCAATCGCTTTACGTGGGAGAGGTTACTCACATGCCCCCCGTAAAACGGCTGAGGGAGGAACCCATTACATTCACCAACGCCGATCTCCCTCCAACTTCCTCCCCTCATAGGGACGCTTTGGTGATCCAGAGCGAAATAAACAACACCATCATCCACCGAACTTACATTGACACAGGCAGCTCCGTCAATGTAATGTACCTCAGCACATTCACAGAGCTGCATCTGGAGAGGGGGTCACTTCGGCCCATCAAGACCCCTCTCGCCGGCTTCACCGAAGACACCATTGATTCCGAGGGGGTCATTACCCTCCCGGTACTATTCGGCGACGGGCTCCATAGAGCCAAGCTCGAAGTGGAGTTCGTCGTCGTCAACATCGACTGCGCCCACAACATCATCCTCGGCAGACCAGCCCTCGAGGACCTCGAAGCCATCATCTCCATGAGGCATATGTGCCTCAAGTTCCCCGCCGAAGGAGGCATCGGGTACTCAAGGGGGAATCAAAGACTTGCCCGCGCTTGCTACCTTCAAGTGACAAAGAAGGTCAGTAAGATCGAGTTCCGTGTCGACACCATCACCGGAACCGTGGAGGAAGAAGAGAAGAGGCTGAGGGTTGAACCCGCCGATGAAGTAGAAGACTTCGCACTCGATCCGGCCAAGCCGGAGAGAGTTGTGAAGATTGGAGCCAAGCTCCCCGAAGACCTGAAGACTGGCATAACTGAAGCCCTCCGCGCCTACTCCATTGTTTTTGCATGGGGGCCGAAGGACATGCCCGGAATGAGCCGAAGGGTCATCACCCACCGCCTCTCGGTGGACCCTTCGGCCAAACCTATACAACAGCTAAGAAGACCCCTCTCGGCCGAGAGGAGGGAATTTGTGAAGAGGGAGGTTGCCATGCTCCTCTCCATCAAGCACATCAAGGAGGTGAAATACCCCCCCGTGGTTGGCGAACGTAGTCCTCGCACAAAAGCCACCCACCTTCCGCATGTGCGTGGACTACACGGATCTCAACAAGGCATGCCCTATGGACCCTTTCCCTCTGCCGAACATCGATCAACTCGTGGATGAGACCGCGAGGTGTGAAATCATGTCGTTCCTCGACGCATTCCGCGGATATCACCAGATTTTTATGCATGAGGAAGACGCAGAAAAAACAACCTTCATGACTCCCGAGGGCATATTCTGCTATCTTGTCATGGCCTTCGGCCTGAAGAACTCAGGCGCCACCTACACCCGGATGGTGGCCAGAGTCTTTCAGGCCGTCCTAGGGCACACCATGGAGGCCTATGTTGGCGACATGATCATCAAAAGCAAACAATCATCGAGCCATGCTGACGACCTCCGGGAGATCTTCGCCATCATGCAAAAGTTCAACCTTCGGCTAAACCCGAAAAAATGCACCTTCGGCGTGCAAGAAGGCAATTTTTAGGCTACATGGTGAGCCGAAGGGGTATTGAGGCCAACCCCGAGAAAATCCAGGCCATCATCAACATGGACCCCCCACGCAACGTGAAGGAGGTCCAACGGTTGACGGGTCGCCTGGCAGCCCTCAACCGCTTCCTATCCAAATCAGCGGAGAAGTCCTTACCCTTCTTCCAGATCATGAGGAAGACCGCCGGCTTCCAATGGACCTCAGAATGCCAGGAGGCCTTCAACGAGCTGGAACGATATTTATCTTCACCCCCTGTGCTCTTCAAACCCAAGGTGGGGGAAACCCTATACCTCTACCTTGGAGTCAGCCCGACTACCATCAGCTCAGTGCTCATCCGGGAGGAAGATGACATCCAACATGCCATCTTCTATGTTAACAACACCCTCAGGGAGGCCGAACTCAGGTACTCCCCGCGGAAAAGACAGTCCTAGCCATTGTTTGGACTGTGAAGAAGCTTGGCCACTACTTTCAGGCACATCCGGTCCAGATCCTCACTCACCAACCCCTCGACGCCTTGATGAGGAGCCCCACCAGCTCTTCACGAATGGTAAAATGAGTCATCTTCCTCAGCCAATATAACATTGACATCCGTCCGAGGCCTGCCATAAAGGGCCAAGCCCTGGCGGACTTCGTAACGGAGTGCACGGCCAGATCAGCAGTAGATGAGGAGCCATCGGCACATTCGGACGAGTGGTGGACCCTCTATTCCGATGGCTCCTCAGCCACCAAAGCATGCGGGGGAGGAGTAGTTCTCATTACTCCCGAAGGATTCCGGGCCTACTATGCTATCCGCTTCTCCTTCAAAGTCTCCAATAAGGAAGCGGAATATGAAGCCCTCCTCTGTGGCCTTCGGCTGGCAGAAAGAATGAAGGCCAGAATGATCCACGTCAAGTGTGACTCCAAGTTTGTCGTGGGCCAAATCTCTGGGGAGTACGAGGCCAAGGAAGGGAGGATGAAACAATACAGAATAGACTATGTCTCGCGCCGAGGGGACGACTTTCAAAACTGAGGCGCTTTCTGTGCCATCCCCCAAGGAGAGGCAGGCTACAACCTATGTCTTATGCC